GGGGAGAAAAAGTGAAAGAGTTGCCTTGTATGTAGGAGAGCAGTTTAAGTGCTCAGAGCTCTAGTATGAAATGAGAAAAGCCTGTTGAGAGTTTTTGGATAAGATTAGGAGTGAAAGCAATAAGACTGATGTTATTGTGAGCATCTTCTATAGACCACCAGACCAGAAGGATGAGACAGACGAGGCTTTTTATGGACAACTAACAGAATTTTCTAGAAAATGTGCCCTAGTCCTCATGGGGCACTTCAATCACTCTGACATCTGCTAGAAGAGCAACACAGCATTACACAGACAATCCAAGACATTTTGAACAGTGCAGAGGACAACTTCCTGGTACAAGTGCTGGAGGAACCAACTAGGGATCATGGTCCTCTTGACCTACTACACTCAGAAAAGGAAGAATTGGTAGGGAGAGTAGAAGTAGGTGGCAACCTGGGTAGCAGTGACCATGAGATGGTTGAGTTTGGGATCCTGACAAAAGGAAGAAAGAAGACCCTGAACTTCAGAAAACCGATGGGGCAGGATCCTTTTGGGAGCTAATATGAGGGAGAAATGAGTCCAGGACAGCTGGCTGTATTTTAAATAAGTCTTTTTGAGGGCTCAGAAACAATGCAAAAAGAATATCAAATATGGCAGATGACCAGCTTGGCTTAACAGAGAAATTTTTGGTGTTCTTAAACACGAAAAGGAAGCTTACAAGAAGTGGAAACTTGGACATATGACCAGGAAGGCATGTAAAAGCATAGCTTGAGCATGCAGAGATATAATCAGGAAGGCCAAAGCACAATTTAAGTTGCAGGTAACAAGGGATGTGAAGGATAACAAGAAGGGTTTCTACAGGTACACTAGCAAAAAGCAGAATGGCAGGGAAAATGTGGGACCCTTACTGAATGGGGGAGGTAACCTAGTGACAGATGATGTGGAAAAAGCTGACATACTCAATGTGCTTGTGCCTCAGTCTTCGCAGACAATGTTAGTCCACGGACTGCTGCACTGAGTAACACATTATAGGGAGAAGGTGGGCAGCCCTCAGTAGTGAAAGAACAGGTTAAGGACTATTGAGAAAAGCTGGACACACACAAGTCCATGGGGCTGGATCTAATGCATCTGAAGGTGCTGCGACAGTTGGCTGATGTGATTTCAGAGCCACTGGCCATTATCTCTGAAAACTCTTGACAATCAGGAGAAGTCCCAGACTTCAGCAAAGCTTTTGGTACAGTCTCCCATTGTATTCTTGCCAGCAACTTAAAGAAGTATGGCTTAAATGCATGGACTATAAGTTGGCTAGATCATCAGGTTCAACAAGTAGTGATCAATGACTAAATGTCTAATTGCCAGCTGGTATCCGAGTGCACCAGGGATTGGTCCAGAGACCAGTTTTGTTCAAGATCTTCATTAATGATCTGGATGAGGGGATGGATTGCACCCTCAGAAAGTTCTCTGATTCACTAAGATGGGGAAGGAGGAGGAGAGTTAGATATGCTGGAAGGTAAATTGGAAAATTGCGACACAAGAAACCTGGCGAGGTTCAACAAGGACAAGTGCAGAGTCCTACACTTAGGACGGTACAGTCCCATGCACTGTCACAGGCTGGGACCAGCTGGCTAAACATAAGTTATGAAAAAACAGATCTGTGGATTATAGTAGACGAGAAACTGGATAGGAGTCAATAGTGTGCCCTTGTTGTCAAGAAGGTCAATGCATTAGTAGGAGCATTGCCAGCAGACTGAGGGAAGTGATTATTCCCCTCTATTCAACACTGGAGTATTGCATCCAGTTTTAGGCGTCCCAGAATATTGCGTCCAGTTTTAAGACCCACATACAGAAAAGATGTGAAGAAATTGGAGAGAGTCCAGCAGAGGGCAATGAAAATGATTAGGGGGCTGGTGCACATAACTTCTGAGGAGAGGCTGAGGGAATTGAGCTTATTTAGTCTTCAGAAGAGAAGAATGTGGGAGCCTTCAACTACCTGAAGGGGGTTTCCAAAGAAAATGGAGCTAGGCTATTCTCAGTGGTGACAGATGACAGAACAAGAAACAGTGGTTTCAAGTTGCAGTGGGGGAGGTCTAGGTTGGATTTTAAGGAAAGCTTATTTCACTAGGAAGGTAGTGAAGCACTGGAATGGATCGCGTAGGGAGACTTAAAGTCAGTCCTGACAAAGCCCAGGCTGGAGTGATTTAGTTGGGTTTGGTCCTGCTTCAAGGGGATTGGAAGACCTCCTGTTGTCTTTTCCAACCCTTATCGTCTATGATTCTAGGAACTGTTGTGGTTATTACCGGGGATTCCCCAGGGTCATACGTAACTGTGGAGGGTTTTTTAAAACCAGCCAATTAATTAATTTTACCAAGGGCTATTAAGGAGACTGTACTTAGCACGTGCTGTACATTCTGAAGTTTAATACTTTATTAAACTGATGCAAAGTAGCATTGTGGAAGCTAGTGTCCAGAAAATCCATTAAGTGCCATTAAATTTCTTTGACTTGTACCATCTCCCATGAATGTGTCTCTTTTTGTTTAGAGAGATGTCTACCTGGTGTGACACTGCTATAGCATACTTAAGTTGCCTCCATAATGAGTGTCAGGTTTTTAAACCTCTTCCTTTTTTTTCTGAGCTTCCACGTATTTGGACACCTTTCCAAAGTGTAGTGGCTCAATGCTAGTGTATAATAGGACATGAGCCCTGCCCCGAGGATGCTACAGATAATTCCATCATGGACCCTATTACTTACCTGTGGCAGTTGCGTCCAGAAAGCTGTTCACACACACTTTTTATAATTATTGTATTTTCTGTGGGCGTGTTGGTTTGAAGATTTTGGTAGGTTTGATTAATATTGGGAGAAGGCTCTGGAGCTTTTACTTCATCTTTTAAGTCTTGGAGAAGATGATCTTGACAGTGAGGTATGGATATGTCTCTGTTATCTAATCAAAGCATACTAAATAAAAAGCGGCTTCTCCTTTGGGCAGCACAGACTTTGAGAATACAGCACATGTGAGGCATCTAATGAAAAGTCAGCTGCCAGTGAGATTGAGCTGTAACACATAAAAGCAATCGCTTCCACTAAGTCTGCATGACTTACAGATCAATATGGAAGGACAAACACACATTCTTCCAAAAAATCTGAAAAATGGGGTAGTTCATTCACTAAGATTTTCCTGGTTAATCCTTTAAAGTACTTGTTGCATGAACAGTATTGAAAATGGTAAACCCACAAAAAAAATATTTATTCCAAGTCAGTCAGATATATGAAGATTTTCAGTATTGCTTTTATTAAAAATATAATTATTGCTTCTAATTGCTTTTTGGAAAACTGATGAGCACAGGGAATGCCATCTTAGCTTTGCTTTTGAAAACTCTTTTCACAAAATAAGGTCTGTGAAATAATATTAAGGGCTGTATTTTCATGTAGATAATACTTTTTTTGTACAACATGAATGGCAAAGCCTGAAAATTTCCAGCTACTTCCAGAAGAGGTTCAGTAAATGAAAATGTGAATGTAAACAATAAAAAGGCAAAAGGCCCAAGTAAAAATAAAACCCAGAGGGGAAACACAAAATCACTAAATAAAAATTGCACTTCCTATTATCCACTTAATGGGAGGCTAGGTGTCAGGCTAAAGGACAAAGAGCTAGGACATTTGAGTTCTAATTTCCACTCTGTTACTGACTCTGTAGTCACATTGAGCTTGTTGGTATGGAAATAGCTATTGCAGAATAAGCTATCCATAAATCACACTAATTATTCCAAAAGATGGTGACTTTTATTTCAGAATAGTGTACCCACGCACGAAGCTATTACAGAATAGCTATTCCAGTCAATTTCTGATTTATACAATCCTTTAATCTCTTAGGGCATGTCTATGTTTACCAGATGATCAATGCTCTGGAGGTTGATTTTCTAGTTTGATTTAGTGGGTCTAGTATAATCTGGTGTCTGATGCTCCTCCTTCTGTGAGGAGTAAAAGGGAAGCCGATGGGAATGTTTGCTCCCATCAGCCTCCCACTGTGTGGACACCACCATGGCTCAGCTTAAGGTAATCTGACTCCAGCTATGCATTTTTAAACTGGTTCCCCATGAGCAGGGGCAGATGAGAGTTTTGCGGGACCCAGGGCGCAGGGCCTATTGAAGCGCAAGGCCCGGAGCAGCACAATTTCATGCATGCGCCATGGCCATAGCCGACAGGTAGTAGCACATGCGTGGGGCCTATTGAAGCACAGGGCCCGGGGCAGCCGCCCCGCTCACCCTGCCCTATATCCGCAGCTGCCCATGAGCACTGGATCCCACAGAGTCGCCTGTCCCCCTTCCCCACACCTGGACACTGCTGCCTCTGATAGAGAGACAGCAGTGTGAAGGGTGAGGGGAGCAGGCGGAAGCCAGTACACACAGGAAGCCGGCTTTCAAGTTGGCTGCCCACTGAGCTGCTTGCTGTCCACTTGCTGCCTCCCATAGAAGCAGCAGGGGATGGGAGAGGAGGAGGGGCAGAAGCCGGTGCTTGGAGGAGCAATGACCAAAACTCATTATCAATATCTGAGTCTCCAAGGTATAGTCTTGTTCATACCTTTCATGTTCCATTCCAGAGCCAAACTTTTCAAACCTGAGGTTGTGAGTTTACTTTGGTTGAAAGAACCCATTTTTAATTCAGGCTGTAATTTTGAACATAGATGTATTTGTTAAATTATGATATAACGAGTGCAATTATGTAGTCTAAAAATAAAGATCTGTTTTTTGCAATCTGAATTTTTACACCAACATCTTTGGAGTGAAAAATTCTGCATTTAAGTCTGCAAAGTTCCTTCTATTTGAAACCCATCTTTATTCTTTGGAAATGCAATTACTTTTCAATGAAATGTTAATACAGAATTCTATTTTTACAGCTGCTTCCATGATCTATAGTACAAAGCTGCAGCTTAAAGCTGCTAAATTCTCTCCCCCTCTATTTCTCAGTACTTTATGTTGGAGAAAAATGTAAGAGTCATAATAATTTGCCTGTTTTGTAAACACAGGACTATATCTTCAAAGACACATCACCATGCCAACAATTTCAATATATTTGAAGGAATGACCTGCCATGGACTCCCAGTTGTGACAATTTCGAGAGGCAAAGTGGTGTATGAAAATGGAATTTTCAAAGTCACAGCAGGAGATGGAAAATACATTTCACGTAAACCATTCCCTGAATATGTCTACAAAAGAATCAAGCAGCGGGATGAGGTTAATTAAAACAATATATTGTGGTAGCACTTGCAATCTTTATCCAATAGAAGGAAAACTAGCTTGGGGACGGGGCTTGGAGCTAGCTTTCTGTGGTTATTTCACTTGTCTTTGTGATCAAAATGAGACACGACTGAAGAAAGTAAGTTGGAGGTTCTCTTCCTCCTTTTATATAAAACCACCATAGGCTTACTCCTGGTCTCTGGTATATCCATGTAAGTTGGTTGGAATTAGGTTGGAATTAGGTGCCTTTGCAATCTTGGTCCTATTTATTGTGTCAGTGGTTACACTGGTCTACTCATGAAAAGCTCTGAGCAGCTGTAAATGCCATAGACTTAATGGAAGTCACAGATACTCAGAACCTCGCATAATGAGATCCTAAATTAAGAAAAAAGATGAACAGTTTTCTAACTCTTTAATATATATTTGGAGCTTGATCCTGCAATGTGCTGAACACTGCAGAATTGGGTGCTCAAACAGGTAAAGAATAGGTTAAGAATAACTTAAATGAATGAGATGTCTTCAAGTTGGTAGGGCCTGTCAAAATACATCCTAGAATACTTAAAGGACTGGCTGAATCATTAGTGATTATCTTTGGTAACTTGTGGAGGACAGAAGAGATCCCAGAGGACTGGAAAAAGGGCAAATATAGTACCTACTTATAAAAAGGGGAATAAAGAAAAGCAAGGGAATGATAGACCAATCAACTTAACTTTGGTACTCAAAAAGATAATGAAGCAAATAATCAATCAATTTATAGGCACATTGAAGAAAAAAAGTAACAATCAACATGAATTTATCAAAACCAAATTATGTCAAACCAACTGGAAATCCTTCTTTGACAGGACAACAAGTCTTTTGGATGGGGAAAAAATGTATTTGCGCAAGAGGGCCAGTGTAGACAGCTAAAAGCTGTTTTGTGCAAAAAAGCCCCGATGGCGAAAATGGCAATCGGGGCTTTCTTGCGCAAAACTGCGTCTAGATTGGCACGGACGCTTTTCTGTAAAAAGTGCTTTTGAGCAAAAGCGTCCGTGCCAATCTAGACACTCTTTTCCACAAATGCTTTTAACGGAAAAACTTTTCCATTAAAAGCATTTGCAGAAAATCATGCCAGTCTAGACGCAGCCCTTGACTTTATTAAAGCTTTGATTCCATCTTATGTGTTCTTTTAATAATAAAGTAGGGAAATATTAACTTACTATATGGTAAGTGCAAAACTGATCGGAAAAATGTACTCAAAGCAGTTAACACTGGTTCACAATCAAGCAGGAAGGACAGATGAAGCCTGGTCCCATGGGAATCATTATATCTGGATCTATTCAATATTTTCATGAATTATTTGGATAATGGCCTAGGGGTACACACACAACATTTGCAGAGAATACCAAATTGGGGGGGGGGGGGGGGGGGGGTCAGATTAAACAATAGTTCAAACTACCTAGGTACATTGTGGACTGAAGGTCATTAGAGATTTTTAAGTATGGATTAGAAAAATGCTTGTTCGGGTTAATCTAGGTAATGTTTAGCATTGTCTCATTGCAAAGGACTAGAGTAGAAAACCTACTGAGATCCCTTGCAGTTCTACATAGCTGTGATTCTATGATCAAGCAATGCACCAGTTGTGGGACTACACATATGCTTAAAGTTAAGCATATGGTTAATGCTTGCTGTTCCAACTAGTGTTCAGCAATTTCCATTATCAAGTTCTCAATGTGTAAATTACTAAAGGAGAAAATCTGTGAAACACTTAGATGGAATATTCTATAACGGTCTACCATGTACTGCCCATGGGAAATACTTTTCCTGCCGTAGCGTTGCTGACTCTGGTGAGGATTTTGAAAATACCTAAGTGACCTGTGGTCCAAAAGCAGTTAGGTGCTTTTGAAAATCCAGCCTTGAATCAGTAATATTCATAACACTTTCTCAGTATGGAAACTAACAACATACATGTGAGCTTTTTGCTGTATAAGTGTTTCCAACCCAATTAATTGTGCGTGTTATTTGCTCCAGTACTTCGCTGATGCTGGCCTGATTAAATATATGAGCCAAAGGTTAAGCTGGTCTTTGCCTCGCTGCTTCGCTGTTGCTGGCCTGATTAAATACATGTGCCAAAGGTTAAGCTGGTCTTTGCCTCGCTCCCCCCCAACCCACTGCAACTGACTTCCCCTCTATAAACACGTTTCCTGTAGGAAATGGTAGCCTGACTGCTAATAGACAGACATAATACAAAATGCTCTTTTTTTTCTCTCTGCCAACTTCTTAAAGACACACACATTCTTTTTGTTGAGAATTTACAGGAGATTACTCTGTATTTAGCTTCACAAACAAGCAAAAAAGGGTTTGATCCTATATTGACCTTATACAGATGGTATAGACCACTGTAAATTGGGTAGAACAGAGCTATCCTATTTTACACCAAATGAGGATCAGACCCAAAGTATACTTGATTCTTTGATTGTTAATTACCTTGAACTCATGCCCTACATTTAAATATCTACCAAGTTTTTATATGCATTATGTCCACCTTTCAATGTTTACAAGAATTTTGTATTTGGGAACCTCTGCTTTACATAATGCCTCTACATTGCAATTTCTCAAACATTCCTAAAGTAGTCACACTTTTTTCCAGAGCTCTGCTTAAAAATACTACATTTGGCCCAATTCTGTAAGGTGCTATGGATCACCTGCAAGATGCTGTGTGCCCTGACTTCCACTGATTTCACTGGAAGTTAGAAACGTTCAGTACTCTGCAAGTCATGGAACTTTATCACAACAGTGGCTAAGTTTCTTGTGGTCACGTGAAGTCTGTTTACAGCCACCAGTCCTGGCTCTCTGGGAATGTCTACAGAGCAGCATTATTTCAGAATAACAGCCGTTATCCGAATTAACAACATGAGCGTCTACACAGCAATTCTGTTTCAAAATAAATTTGAAATAACGGATGGCTTATTCTGTCTTCTGTAAACCTCATTCTATGAGGAATAACACCTCTTCTGAAACTGCTATTTTGAAAAAGCTGTAGGGTGGACACTCCACTGCTGCTATTTTGAAATAGCTCCTCCCCAGGGCCATTCAAAGTAATTACTCCCTAGTGCTTCCTAGGGCTCTAAATCGAGGTAGCACTTCCACATTTAGGGAGCCTACCTTGGACTAATTTTGAGGCTTCTTTGTAGTGTAAATGTGCTATTTAGAAATAAGCTATTTAAGAGTATCATGGGGTAGCTGTGTTAGTCTGAATCTGAAAAACGATGAGGGGTCCTGTGATACCTTATAGACTAACATTTATTGGAGCATAAGCTTTCGTGGGCAAAACCCACTTCGTCAGATGCATCTGACGAAGTGGGACTTTGCCACAAAAGCTTATGCTCCAATAAATCTGTTAGTCTATAAGGTACCACAGGACTCCTCGTTGCTATTTCAGAGTATTTCTTCTGAAATAGCTTATTCCGAAATAATTGTGCAGTGTAGATGTACCATCAGTGTTCTGTGCTCTTATTTAGCTCTAATTTATCTCCAAATTGGAGTATTGTGTCCAGTTTTGGGCACCGCATTTCAAGAAAGATGTGGAGAGGGTCCAAAGAAGAGCAACAAGAATGATTAAAGGTCTAGAGAACATGACCTATGAAGGAAGGCTGAAAGAATTGGGTTTGTTTAGTTTAGAAAAGAGAAGATTGAGGGTGGGACATGATAGAGTTTTCAGATATCTAAAAGGGTGTCATGGAGGGAGAAAAATTGTTCTCCTTGGCCTCTGAGAATAGGACAAGAAACAACGGGCTTAAATTGCAGCAAGGAAGGTTTAGGTTAGACAGTAGGAAAAAACTTCCAAACTGTCAGGGTGGTTAAACACTGGAATTGATTACCTAGGGAGGTTGTGGAATCTCCATCTCTGGAGATATTTAAGAGCAGGTTGGATAGACACCTGTCAGGGAGGATGTAGATGGTGCTTGGTCCTGCCGCGAGGGCAGCGGACTGGACTTAATGACCTCTTGAGATCCCTTCCAGTGCTAGTATTCTATGATTCCATGATTCTAAATGTTTTCGAAGAGCCCAGTAAGTAGTGGAAGTGTTGGCAATGGTGCTAGACAATATTGATCTCCTATGATTCAGCAAATTCTCTGTTTTGGCACTGGTCAGATCCCGAGGGTGCCAGACTAGAGAGGTTCAATCTATAGTATGCTGTCTTCATTGTTTATCTTTGTCTCTTTGGGTTTATGATGCAAAACGTGTATGCTAGTTTACTACTGAAACCATGTCTAGAGCCATATTACACCAGCAAATACACAGGATGATCATCTACACATCTGGGGAAGATACAGGTAGTCCCCGAGTTACGTGGATCCGACTTATGTCGGATCCGCGGTTATGAACGGGGATTTTCTCGCCCCGGAGGACTGGAGTGGCGGGACGCCTGGTCCCGCTGCCCACCTCCTCCGGGGCGAGAAAAGCTGCTCCCCGTCTCCCTGGTCTGCTGGGGGAGCCAGCAGACCAGGGAGATGCTGAACAAAGCGGCGGAGGCCCCGGGCCGGACCGCAGCGCTGATCTGGAAGCGCCGCGGTCCAGCCCGGGTCCTCCGCCGCTTTGCTCCACGTCTCCCTGGTCTGCAGGGGGGGGATGCAGATAGTGCC